TCACCTTCTCCCACACACACCTGAATGTCACCTTCTCCCACCCACACCTGACTGTCACCTTCTCTCACCCACACCTGACTGTCACCTTCTCCCACACACACCTGACTGTCACTTTCTCCCACACACCTGAATGTCACTTTCTCCCACACACACCTGACTATCACCTTCTCCCACACACACCTGAGTGTCACCTCCATTCCCACACACCTAACTATCACCTTCTACCCCCACACCTGAATGTCACCTTATCCCCATCACACACCTGAATGTCACCTTCTCCTACACACACACATGAATGTCACCTTCTCCCCTAACATCTGAATGTCACTGTCTCCCACACACACATCTGAATGTCACCTCCCCTCAAACCTGAATTGTCACCTTATCCCCAACACACACCTGAATGTCACCTTCTCCCTGACACACACCTGAGCAAGCGTCCTAGTCCTTCAGGCCAACGCAAAGGCCATCTCCTCCCTGACTTTCCTGTCTGGGCTCAGGTGGCCCCAGCCTGGGAGTCCCTGTGGACCACCCCCTCGTGGACAGAACTGGCCTCGTCCTCAGGACTGTGCCACGAACCGTGCCACGCCCCCGCCCCACCCCAAGTGTCCATCTCTGATTGACTGTCTCTGCGGAACTGCATCTCCAGCTGCCCCACAGCCTCACCAGAGGCTGAGGATGCCTGGGGCACAAGGCAAGGTGACAGCCAGCAGAAGCCATCGCCAGTCTCGGATCAGGTACCCGACCAGTGCCAGCAGCATCACGCCCCCTGTCCAGAAGGTGCCGCTCAGGACGCCCGCCACGGTGCGGTGCCCCACGTCCAGCCACTCCAGCTCTGGGCCCGGGGACAGAAAGACAGTTAGTGGGGGCCCGCCGGTTTCAGCCTCACCCTTGGCCACACCTCCGGCAGCCCTGGGGTCCTGCCAGGCCCTTGCTTGTCTCACCTAGTGGCATCACGATGATGGTGAAGCCGGCCAGAGCTGTGCCAGTGAGGGTGCGGGTGACGGCGAACATGGCGTAGCTGACAGAAGCGGCCGATACCAGGCCCAGCACCAGGGTGCTGACATAGGCCACCAGTAGCAGGCGGCGGCGTCCAAATCTGTGAGGGGGTCACCCAGGGTCAGCCCCCCCCCCCCGGAGGGCCTTAGAAAGGCAGAAGGAAGAACTCCCACACCCCCCTCTATTGCCCCCCCCACTGCCTCAGCCCACCTGTCTGCCAGGTAGCCAAAGGCCACAGCCCCCACCAGCACACCGACGAAGAAGAAGGTGGATGTGGCTCGGTTCAGGCCTTTCTGCTCACACACCAGGTCCCACTGCAGGGCGGGGAGGTGGGCAGGGCTCTAGGTGGGTACAGGGCCTCTCCCAGCCTGAGCCAGCCCCTCCTCTCCAGACTCGAGGGTTTCCTGAGGTCAAATGAGCCAGCACCCTGCCTCCACACCAGCTGTTTTGCCCCCTTAATCCCCCCTCCGGGGTAAGACACCCTGCCTCTCACCCCTACCCCACCCCCAGTCCTGCAGCCTGAGCTGCTCCCCTGGAGGGAGTCCTGCTCCCGTCCCATAGCAACCCAGGGCCCTCCAGCACCCAAACCCAGACAGGCTGTGAGGAACAGAGGGAGGGGGCTTTTGCTCCGTTATCTCCCTCCCAACCCTACCTGCACTCAGCACCCCGCAAGCCAGGAGCAGGGCTCAACACTTTATAGCTTTATAGTCAGACCCCATCTACAGGGGGGTCCACTCAGACCCCAAGAGGTAAAACACAGTACCCAACACCCATTCGGTAGCCACCAAAATCAACCCAGGCCCGCACCCCCCACCACAGGTACCTCGGTTACGATGGTGGAGGAGAACTCCGAGCGGTCGTACTCCCAGCCCTGGGGACAGGCCACTGTGGGGGGCTCCGGTTCCAGTGTGCCAGGGCTGTGCCCACCTCCCCACAGCGTGGAGTTGGAGGGGGAGCGGGGATGGGTGAAGCGGAGGCAGGAGCTGAGTGTGCCATCCGGCTCCTGGGGCAGGTGGGCCCGAAGCCACTCCTCTCGGCTGCTGCTGTTGTCAGGGGCCCCGGGCACGGCGCAGTGGTGAGCAGGCATGGCAGCCAGGAAGACAGGCAGGAGGAAGTGCAGGGGCAGCAGCAGCCGGGGCAGGGCCAGCAGGACCAGATTCCGCAGCTGGAAGGGCCCAAAGCCGCCCACCTGACTCAGCAGCTCCTCGAAACTCATGTTGCCCACCTGCCAACTCTCCCCGGAGCAGGCTCCCTCGCAGTGCCCAACCCAGGGCAACCCGCTCCCACTGGACCCTTGGACTCCGGGGGCGGAGTGGGATGGACTGGTGAGTGGAGACGCTGCAGCCAGAAGCCGGCCTGTAGGGGCTGGCCCAGGCCTGGGAGCCTCCCCAGCCATCCAGGTCTCCAGGGACCCCTGCGTCTGTGGCCCAGTGCTCAGTGGGGGAGAGGCTGCCAAATGTTCAGAGGTCACAGTTTCCGGGTATTTCCACCCTGGTGCTCATAGAATAGGCTGGGTTGGCATGTAGGAGGTAAGCCCCCAGGCCCATGGCCACAGAGCCTGTCAAGAGTTCCTGAGAGGAGCATGGTGCTCCAGGGAGCATGGAGCTGATTCTCCCTGCAGGCTCTGGGTCAGCCGGGCCTGCAGCCGGGGCTTCAAGACTGAGGACCAGGCCCTGGCGGGGTTCCCTGTACCCTCTGGGGCATCAGCTTACGCTCTGGCCTCAGACAGACCTGTTCCCCTGTGAGCCCCCATGCTCACCACCCTCCATTCCCCACAGAGGGGCCTCGCTCATGGACAAAGTCCCTTCAGCCTACCCCACGCCCCCATTTCCAGGAGCTTCCGAGCGTGGCCCTTTGGGGGCCGGGAAAGAGGGTCTCAGCCACCGTCTTGGTCTGGCTCTGGGTCTCGAGCTGCCTGAGGGTCCAGACTTGCTCATGTCACTCCCCAGCATGGACCCCTGCACCAAAGCTGCCCAACGTCCACCACATCTGATAGCCCTCTGGCTCACCAGACGCCCATGCCACCCCCTGGGAATGTCCTCTCCTGGTCACCTGTCTCCTCCTGCTCGGCTGTCAAGCGTCAGAGCCACGGTCATCAGGGAGTCTCTCCTGAAGCTCCCAGTCTGCCCCGGGGAAGTCCTGGACTTTGCTCGTCTGGGTTTGCCTCACAGTGGCACTTGTGGGGCTTAGCAGGAGCCTGAGAATCAGTTGAGTTACTGGGTGGAATGAATGAATAATTGCATGAGTGTAACTTAATGAGTGAATAATCCGAGGGTTTTTTTTTTACTCATTAACCTTCAATAGTAAATCAAAGAAATCTGAAATGGGACATTTTTCATTTATCTGGTTATTCTGGGAATGTCTCTTAGAATCAAACTTGGAGAAGTAATCAGAAAGTGGAGCCAGGATGGGCGTTTTGGCTCTGTTTGGAATGGTGAAGCGTCGGGTAGATTCTAAGAGAAATTGGTGTGGGGCTGGCTCACTGCATTATGAGCACTTCCTTCCACACAAGACTGTGTCTCTGTGGAACAGAACGCAGGCTCCTCCTATCTTACTGGTGGGAATGCCAGGTGGGGCAGGTGCGTTGGAAGAGCCTGGAAGTTATTCCAAAGGTTACATATAAAGATGCCATATGATCCCAACAGACACACAGACATGTGCCGAATGCTAGCAACATTGTTCATATTGACCAAGAGTGGAAACAACCTGTGATAGTTATATAACTTGAAGTGTAGGGATGGAGTCTGGCCTGTCAATCAGGTCACAGCCCGATAGTGCCTCCTTACGGGCGTGACCGCCTCCTAAGGAGGTGTCCTGGGAACCTCCTTCCCTCTCTCTCTGCTTCACTTTCCTGACTGCGAGCCAGGCTGAGTCCCTGTGGTGCTCCCACCGCATGGGAGCCACAAGACTTCTCACCCACGGGCCTGTGATCTTCCTGCATTTTTTCATCATTGCTTCTGGCTGTGTGAGTCTGAAGAGGGATTTATGGACTAGTATTGGATTTATGGGGCTGATCTGGACTGGGCTGGGATGTTTTCCTGGTATAGAACTGCTTCTTGATATAAAGCTCTCTCTTACACATATATGAGGGTCACTGGATTTGTTTCTCTAGTCAACTCGGCCTAACCCACAACCCATAAACTCAGGAATGCATAACCAAAGTGTGGTGTGTCAACCTCATGAGGCAGGACTCCGTCAGACAAAGGAGCCAAGAGCTGATAGCTGTTACATGGGTGAACCTTGAAATCATTGTGTGAAGGGAAGCAAGCCAGGCACAAGGAACTACATATAGGATCCCACTTGTGCAAAATGCTCAGACGGGCAGAGTCGTGGCCGCGTAGGGCAGAAGGAAGGGGTCCTGAATGGGGCCCCTGCTGGGTTCACACCCATCAGCAGCTCCTCAGAAAACAGGCCTGGCAATCTTCTCTGGTAAAGATTACAGCCTAGAAAACCCTATAGGGAAGTTCTACTCTGCCATGCATACAGGGTCTCTGAGTTCAAATCCACTCAACAGCTCCTGACAAGACCAGGAGGCAGAGGGGTTGGAGGGGAGTGAGGAGTGCTTGCTGATGGAGATGAGCTCCCGTCTGGGGATGGAAGTGCTCTAACAGTAACTGTGCTGACCACCAGCCGATTCGGCGGCTCTACGGCAGACAGTGCCAACTTCAGTTGGTGAACTGTGTACGTCAGTCTCGCCTCAATCAGAGTTGTTTTGAAAAAGAACCTGAGGAAAACGAGGTGATTCCGGGAACCCAAGAGGAAAGCGAATTTTGGGAATAATGAGGGCAACAAATGTATAGATGTGCTTTACACAATTGATCTATGTATTGTGACGAATTGTATGAGCCCCAATAAATTGATTTTTAAAAAAAAGAACCTGAGGAAGATCTGTGTTTCAAGACACATTGTTGGGCATGCACTCAAGTTTCAGAAGAAATGCTTCTCTTTGTATTAGCAAGAACTGTGTGTGTCGGGAGAAAGATGCGACTCCCTACTCCCATAAAGAGGGACCGTCTCAGAAGCCCACAGGGGCAGTGCTACCCTGTCCTCTGGGGTCACTATGAGTCGGCATCTACTTGAGGGTGGTGAGTTTGGCTCTTTGGTTTTGTGTGTGTGTCTGTGTGTGTGTTCATGAGCACGCATAGGGTTATGGATTAAATCGGGTCCTCTGTACCTGTGGAATACTTCTGTTCAGAAATAGTGCTTTTTGTTATGGGAATTGGATCATACCCAACCAAGTAGGGTGGGTCTGCTTCCTCCTGAGTCCGAACAAAGAGCAGGTTAGACTGAGCGCTCTGTGCGCATGGGAAGAAGACATCTGACGATTCATCTACAAGTCCAGGGACCAAGGAATGCCAGAACCATCTACCAGGAAGGAATCGACCAGGCTGAGCCCCTGATGGGGATGTTCAGACTCCAGAACAGTGGGAAAACAAATTCCTGGTTTTCAGAGCACTCACTTACGGTATTTCTGTGCCGGCAGCACTCATCAGGGGTGTGTGTGTGTGTGTGTGTGTGTGTGTGTGTGTGTGTGTAGATAGATAGCATTATTATTGTAAATGTAAAGGAAAAAGTCCTAAATTATACACAAGCCAGTCACAGGGGTGACCTCTAGGTGGTCGGATTTGTGGAGAGTGTGTTCATGTTTTATTTAGGCGACTCTAATAAAGGCGTTGGATTTACGGTATGTCCTGCCTTGCCATTTCATGAAGGAGGCAGGTGGAAGCACACAGGCCCCCACCGAGGGCAGCTCAGTGAGGCCTTAGAACCCCCAGCTGGCTACAGGAGGGGAGGGCCCAGGAGGCACTGTGGAGAACAGAGTGGTCCATGGTTACGGGAGCTGCTGGGGGTCAGATCCGCGCCCAGCTGACCTGCTGGGAGGGAGAGCAGGACTCTGGAGGCTGGGCCCTTCCCCTCTCATCCCAGGGAGGGTCAGGAGGCTGAGCCAGAACAGAACATGCGTGTGCACTGACTGACCAAGTGTCGGATGCACAGGACACAGCAAGGCCAACTCGTGAGGCTTCCCTTCCCCCAGCTCACTCCGTGAGGCAGCCAGAGACCCCCACCTCATCTAACCCTCCTGAGACAAACGACTCTGCTGTGGATCCTGACTCTAGAGACGTTGTGCCACGGAGCAGAGCCACCGCCCGGGGCTTCCTGGCTGCCGGCCTTCCCCCAACTCTGTCTCCGTGGAATCTCTGGGTGGGTTGGGGTCTCGGGTGGGTTCCAACAGCTGCCCTTCGGGTTCCCAGCTGAGTGCCTAACCAGGTCTTCCTTTCTAGAAAAATCACATTTGACTGCCATTAACTCACAGCGCCCCCAGAGGACGGGGTTAGTACTGCTGCCGTGAGTGTCTGAGACAGTAACTCTATGGCAATAGAAAGCCCCGTGTCTGTCCCTGAAAGAGTCTAGCTGGGGGTTTCCAACGGCCACCGCTGACCTCACGGGTTTCAGCCTAACACACAAGCAGGACACCACCAGGGCCCCTCCTACATGAACAGCCAGACACGATCCTCCACAGGCAGAGCCAAAGACCTGACGGATCCATGCTCCAGCCCTGAGGGCGCCCAGTTCAAAGGAACACACCTTTATAGGCTCGGCTTTTGCTCCTACAGACCCACAACCTTTCCTCCGAGTTGTGGGGGTCAAGTTTCTTTGGGGGATTTCAATTTTAGGATATATTTAGATAAGAATAAGTCTCCGTTTGAGGTGGGACCCAGTAACCATACCCCAGTGTTTGTTGCCACACTGTCCAATCACTGGAACAAGCCCACCGGCTTGTCCAGATGTCGGAACCGAGTGAGCGGGTGCCGGTTCCAGGGAGACACTGGGCTTCCCTACCTCTGTGGGGCTTGCTCTGCCAGCAAGGCTCTGTGGAGCTACACAGAGGACGCTGCGGTGACAGACCCTGCAACAAGCAGACAAGTGTGGCCAGGTGACAGGGATGGGGTCACAGGCTACGTGCCTTTGGGATTTTGATAGATGGGTGTTCCTCCTTGCCTTGGGAGCTGCTAAATGTCATGGTCTCCCAAACACTGTCACAGTTGTCTGTCCACTTTGGGACCAAAACGAAATTTCCTTCCCTCCTTTTCTCCCTCCCGGCCCAAAGCTCAATTTAAGGCCTCAGGCCTGCAGGAGTCAGCTCAGGGGACGGAGAAGGGTATACGCTTCACAGCCAGACCAAGCAGGGCAGTCCTTCCTTCTGTGTGACCCCGGGCCGTTCCTCACCTGTGAATGTAGCGCCTGTGTCCACAGGAACAGCCCTCTCCACTTACCCACCATCCTGCTGCCCCCTTCTCTCCTCCCGTGCACCCCCTACCCCAAAGGGAAGAAGAGTCCAGGCCAACAGGAAGGTCCACAGGCTTTTTAATGGTGAGATGGCTACTTCCCTTCCGAGACCCCATCTAATGACAGCGGCTTCTGGGGTGGGGCTGGGGGTGGGCGGGCACAGGATGTGCGGAGGCCATGCAGTGACTTGGGGAGGAGGGGAGACTGTTACATTCTGTTTGGCGTGTAAACATTCTTCGGTGGTGGCCTCCCCAGGGAGGGGCAGGCAGGGCCACTTCCTGCCCCTGCCCCATGCCCACCAGGGCTGGCCCCTGGAGCTGAGAAGACTGAGCAAGCCGGGCCCGGTGAGGAGCTGGGTAGGGGAGCCCCATGCCTGGGGCATAGCCCCTCTCCTGTACCCCCTTCGTGCTCCGTGCGGCTGGGGGGAGGGAAGGCCTGTTCGGTGTTAGCAGACTCGGAGCCTGAGCCCAGCGACCCAGGCTGCGGGGAATGGGGACGTGTGGGGGACTCCATAGAGGAGGTGCTCGGGACCAGGAGGGCCTGGTCAGCGGGAGTAGGGGATGTAAGAAGCAGCAGCTGGGGAGGGGTGCTGGGAGATGGGGACCCCCTGCCCTGGATCCTTCCTGGGGAGAGGCACCAAATACGTTCCCTCCACCTAGCACACACAGCCCCATGACATTGGTGACCCAGAGGCCTGAGGTCTGCTGGGAGGCCCCGGGAGGTCAAGGGCCCCAAGAGCAGATGAAGTGCTCTCACTCCCTGCCCAGCTCCAGTGCTGAGGGAAGGCAGTTTGGAGGCAGGCCAAGGGCTCTCTCGGGCCCCCTTCTTTCTCCGAACTCCAAACCAGGGTGTTGTTGGTCTTGGGGCAGGGTGAGGTGGGGGCAGGGGGGTCCTACATTCACATTTCGGTTGGTGGCAAGGAGCAGGCCTAGGGCCTGGGCACCGGGGGTCATGCCCTGTCCCCCCTGGCATGAGCTGATTGTCATCTGGAGAAGCTCCGGGTGGGAGGGAGTGGCCCCTTCTCAGCTGGGTCCGGGGGGCAGCAGAGGGTCTTGGGAGGGCCTCGGGTTGACAAGGAGGACTCTGGAGAGGTTTCCTGAGTGAGCTGGGAGCTTCAGCTTCAGCGTGGGTGGCCTTTGAGGGCCACTCGCCCTGGAGTCCTCCCCTGGGCTGGTCTGCAGAGAAGCCACCACCGGCTGCTCCTGGGGCCGGCTTCCTTGTGGGCATCCTGCCAGGTGCTGGTGGCTGGATGCTGCCAGGGAGCCGGGCACCCAGGACCTTCCTTCTTCTTCCCCTAGAGGTCTTGGCTTGTTCTTTGTGGCCCAGGAAGGGACGGCAGAGACAGACCAGGATGCTAAGGAAAGGCCGGCCGGAGGCCTTCCCCAGCCCCAGCAGGCTCAGCTGTCCCTTCTGCAGCCAATGTGCTGCCACCCCCAGATGTAGACAGCTGAGGCTCAGGACAGGGAGGGAGGGGGTGTTCTGGAGCCAGAACCCAGGAGGAGCTCCCCAAAGGCTGCAGTTAGGGTGAGAGGGGGCTGGCTGAGCTGGGGAGGGGGTGGGCCAGAGCCCACCCACAAGCATGCCCTCTGGATGTTAATGGGTCTCTCCACCCCAGGAAGGGGCCTGTCCCTAGGTAGGTGATGGCCTGACCTGGCCCACATCTCACACCCAGGAGGGTAGAAAGGGCGACCCCACCAGAACTGTATGCCCAAAGGGTCAGCGCAGAGAGGACAGAGGGCCAGACTCCACCTCTAGGGCTGGGGGCCTCAGTGGAAAGGGCAGGAGTGGAACGGAGGTGAGAGATAGGAAGGAGTACTTCCAGACAGGAAGCCAATGGAGGGGCCAAACTCCTTTTGAAGCCCCCTCCCCTGCCTCCCTCCAATTGCCGGTGGGGAAACATTTGCCTGGAAAGATAGCCAAAAACCCCAGGCTCTCCCTGAGACCCCGCGCAAATTTAAGAGAGGGGTCTTTGTACCCAGTAATTTCCCAAGAATTGCCTGCCCCTTGTCTTCCCCTGGGAGAGGCAGGAAGACGCTGCTGTTGGAGTCGGTTAGAGCAGGCCTATCCCTGGAGCAGCCCTGAATCCCACCCCCAGCCCCAGCCTAGCAGCCCAGAGGCCCCCTACCACAACTCCCAGGAGGTGTGGCAGAAACCACCCCTCCCCCAAACTAGCACCGCCTCCAAGTGTGCCATTTGGGACTGCTTCTCTGAAAAGGGGGGAGGGGGAGTATGGCTGGAGGGGGGGGGACGCTGCGGGAGGTGTAAGCAGAGGGTGGCAGGTGAATGGAGGGGCCAAGAAGACAGTCAGTCTTCAGTGAGCAGTGGCTGAGCCTTGGGGTGGGGTGAAGAGGGTCCCCGCCCACTGGATGGCAGGAGGGAGGGAGAGGGGACAGGAAGATGACCAGGACCCCTTGCCCCCTCGTGCGGTGCGGCGCCCCCCACCAGCCACGCCCCGCGGGCAGGGCACCCTGGGAACACGCATGACCTCCGTGGTGAGCAGGCGGGAAACTGGGGCCGCGGGTGGCGCGTCAGGCGCGTAAGGCTGTGCTGGGGACTGTTCCAGTGTTGGCCAGCTGCGGGTGGGGGCCCGGGGTGAGGGTGGGGGACCCGGGAGGGCCAGTCTAGCCGTGGAAAGCCAGGGGCGTCAGGATCTGGCCCCGGCCTGGCCCTCGGCGCCCCCCGCCCGGCCTTTGGTTACTGCGCTCTGAGTGTGGAGTTTCCCCCTGGGTCCTTTCTTGGGGCCCCCCGGGGAGGAGGGGACAATGTCGGGCTGGGCCCGGGTCGGCGGGGTTCCCCGTGGTGGGGCGCCCGCGGGCCGCCGGGCCTGGTGCGAGGGGGAGGGACTCTCTTTTCGGGACAGGGACTGGCTTCGCGCGGACTGCGACACGCTGGGGTTGCGCGCAGAGCCCGCTAGGCCGGGACTGCGCGGGGCAGAGGCTGCTCCAGGGGGCTTGGCTCCTGCCGCTGCGCCTCCTGCTCGGCCTCGGCCCGAGCCTGGGCCTGGGCCTGGGCCGCGGGCGGGGGCCTGTTTGGGGCGGAGGTCAGCAGCGGTGGCCAACCCTGGGGCTTTCTGCAGCTGGAGCCTGCGGGGTGACCAGAGAGAGGGAGAGAGGACAAAGGATCAAAACAAGAGGACCGTGATCAGAATCTCCCGGAACGGGTCAGTCCATTGCCCTGCGTTCTGGAGCTGGCACCCATGGGTACACTGGGCCTGGTGCCCCCCACCCTCCAGAGCGGGCTTCCCAAGGCCTGCTGCAGACTCTCCTGGGCAGCCGTTTCATTTTTTAAATTCTAAGGGATTTCAAGCACTACAATGGGCCCGTGTTCGCATTAATAGGACATCCTGTGTTAACCCCCCCTCGGGTCTCTTCAGGGCTCAGAGTCCCTTTTATAACTAGATGTGCCTTTGGCAAGCCTGGAGCCAAGCGTGGACTACCCATCTCACCCCCACAGCCCCCCCCCCCCCCCCCGCTGCCCTCCCTGGCACCTCTTCTACATATGCTACCCACAAGCCCACTCAGCCCCATGCCAGAGCTGGATATGCCCCAGGCAGCAGCAGGGGAGGTGGGGGCTGGGGGCCTTGGCTCAGGGACCCTCCCAATCTTGGGTCCCGGAAGCCCTTGCTGGTAAAGATGTGGAAGGTCACCCCTGCCCACCCTGAGATGGGCGGCAGTTTCTCACCTGCTGGTGATGGCTGTGTCGGGTGCTGGGACTGCGCTGTGGGGTCTGCTGGGGGGCTGCTGGGCTGAGGCAGGCATGGGCATGCGGATGCTGATGGGGCGGGGAATCCGGCTCCGGGAGGCTGTCACCCGCCAGGCCTTCCTGGTCACCGCAGGCTCAGAGGCGGGGATGTCCTCCTCAGAGGCTGTGCCCGAGAGCGTCCCAGAGGCTCGACACTGCTCCTCGCTGGAGGAGGATGAGGCGCCGGAGGCCAGGCGCAGCAGCCGGCCCTGCCTCTTCTCCATCACCAAGCGGGCCAGGTCCTGCTGGGGCCGGGCCCTCTTGCTCCACCGCTCTCTGGCCGACAGAGAGCCCGAAGGCTCTGAGCCCGTGTCCTCTTCCGACAGCAGGACAGGGATGCGGCTCCTGGGGCGTGGGCCTGGCCTGGCCTGGCAGCTGGGGGAGGTGGCAGCCAGTTTCTCGGGGCTGAACTCCAGCGGGGCCACTGGGCCTAGCCCTTCAGCAAGGGTCGGGCCATTGGGCAGTGCGTCTGTGGCCAGCTCTGATGGTGTGTCCCCAGGATGGTAGGACACGGCACAGCTCTCTGTCTCAGGCCCATCAAGCCCCAACGGGGCGATGCCATTCTCTAAGGGTACTGGGGTTCCTTCCTCTTGCATGCCCCCATCACAGGGCGCCCCCAGGCCCAGCTCACCCCCCACACTGAGCTCCTCGGGCCGCAAGGCCTGCCCGCCAGAAGACATGACATTGAGGTGGGTTTTCTCTGCGATGTGCACAAAGGTCCTCTCGACTTTGGTGAAGGGTGAGGAAGTGACCACCACGCCCCCTGCCCCTGTGTTCCCGGCCCCCGCCGAGGCAGGCCCCGGCCCGGGCCCTAGGGGCTTGGCCTCAGACTTGAGCACGGACGACAGGGTGCCAGGCTCCGACACATCCAGCTGACTGCCCGCGGGCGGGGGCCGCTCGTGCTGAGGAGTGAGGGCAGCCAGGGTGCCCAGGTCAGGGTCGGGGGCCAGTTCGGCAGTGACAGGCGACTTCTTCATGTCGCCAGGGGAGACGAGCACCAGCGTTTTGGAGCCTTCTTCGGGCTCCAGGTCCCCGTCGGCCATGGAGGCCCGGCCCCTGGACCCCTTCTGGTCGTCCGCCAGCAGCGTGGAGGGCGCGCCTTCCTGGCTCCGGTCGGTGCTCCTCTCGCTGCCCTCGCTGCTGGAGCCGCTGTGAGGGCCCAGCACCTCCCCGAGGGCCACGGCTGCCTCCTCTTCCTCCTCTTCCTCCTCCTCCTCCTCCTCCTCCTCCTCCTTCTTTTCTTCCTCCTCCTCCTCCTCCTCCTCCTCCTCCTCCTCCTCCTCCTCCTCCTCCTCCTCCTCCTCATCTTCTTCTTCCTCCTCCTTGCTGTTGGCCTGAGGCTGAATTGGAGCCAGCGGGACCTGGGGCCTGCTGAGCAGCATGTGGGAGAAGCCCACCCTGCGCACGCGGTTGAGCAGGCGCGCCCGCTCGCGGTAGTCGGAGAGGTCCCGCTTGAAGTCCCGGTAGGGCAGATTCAGAGGCACAGTTCGTGGGAGACTGTTGATCTCAAATGGGGGCGCCACAGAGAACACCTGCAAGGGGCACACACAGGCCTGAGCCCACCTGGTCCCTGGGTCCCAGCAGGAGACCCACGTGCCCAGGGGAGCCTGGGCTTCCTGAGGTCTGAACAGGGCCTGTCTTCTCCACTGCTGTGCCCCAGAGCTCACAGTGGCCCCTGACATCGGGTACCAGTGAAGTCAACCCGTGGGTGCCTGGGTTTAGGGGCTGCTTTTGGGGGGGAGTAGATCTCTAGGTCTTTCTTCCATGGGGAGCCCCGCTGGCCTAGTGGTTATGCACTGGGCTATGCCATCCACAATGTCAGCAGTTCGAAACCACCAGCTTCTCCGTGGGAGACACACGGAGCTTTCTAGTCCCGTAAACAGTGACAGTCTGGGTGAAACTCAGAGGGGCAGTTCTACCCTTTCCTATAGGGTCCCCATGAGTCCGTACGGACTCAATGGCAGCAAGTTTTTTCCATGAAGCTTCTGGGTGGGTTTGAACAGCCAACCTTTTGGTGAGTAGCTGAGTGCACTATGAGCACTACACAGGGGCTCTGATTGCCCACACCTGCTTGTGCCCATGCTGTGGGTCTCCTGAGGCCCTGTCCCTGATCCTGTCCTGTCTCTCTACCCTCTCGCCTGGCTGTGTGCACCCCCAGTCCTAACATAAACCCCAGAGAAACACAGGAAGTGAGAACCAGCTTGGCTCTCCCTTTGACAGAGGAAACAGACCCAGAGACGGACAGCAAAATGTCGGGGTCGCTTTCTGACAGGTGGCCTGGGTCAGGCCCGTAGCTGGCTAGCCCTTGGATGGCCGCCCGGGCCTCCAGAACCTGTGTCCAACAAGGTTAAAGTCAGGACCATCTTCCAGGGGTGCAGGAACAGACCAGACCCTTGGGCACTCCAGTCCATACACCCCCTGCCCCAACCTGCCCCTGTGACCAGGAAGTCATCCAGCACTGACTACAGTCCTCTGGGAGTTAAAGGTCAGCCTAGGAGGGGCAGTTTGCACACCCTGGTCTTTGCCCACCCAGTATCGTCTGCCCCAGGAGCCCTTGGCAGCCCTTCTATCACATGATGAGCCCCTGATGCTCCCCCAGGACACAATTCTAACAGCTCATCTCCCGCCAAGCCTGGTGGACTGCCTGCCTTCCTGCCCACCTCCTCCTTGTTCCTTTCCCCTCTCCTTGGCCCCCCCATGGCCCCCCACATTCTAGTTGTTCATGCTCACTAGACACAGCACACCGCCCTCCTTGAGGGTGGAGACTCTTATTTCTCCCCGCCTCCACTCCTCCGGTGTCTGCTGCCCTAGCCATCAGGAGGGTCCAGGCTGTGATCAAGACAGGCATGACCTCTCTCCTCCTGGCCCGTGTGTTCTCTGTGTCAGGCAAAGGGAATGGGGAGGGCGGAGGCTCCAGGAAGATTTGTGGGCATCAATGGGGTGATGAGGTAGCATAAGCAATGGAAGGAGCCCCGAGGGCAAAGTGGTTAAGCGCTTGGCTGCTGACCTAAAGGTCGGCGGTTCGAACCCACCAGCCACTCCAAGGGACAAAGCTGCTGCAGTCTGCTTCTTCACAGATGTGAGCAGCCGAGGAGCCCTGGTGGATGTGAGCAGCCGAGGAGCCCTGGTGGTGGAGCGGTTATATGTTGGGCTGGGCTGCTACTGCAAGACACCCTGCGGACAGCTCTGTCCTGTTGCTCTAGGGTCGCTACGAGTTGGAATCGACTCAAGAGCAATGAGTTTGGGTCATGTAAGCACTGGGCCTAGCATACAGCAGCTGCTCCCACCCATGCCCAACCTCCTACCCAGTCCTGCTCAACTGGGCTTGGAGATCACCGCCTTCTTCCCACCCCAGGAAAACCCTGCGTGTGGCCCCCCTGTGGGGAATGGGATGATGGGAAACTAGAAACCAGGGCTTCTGTCAGCCGAGGTCTTCCTGCAGACAGCTCAAAGGCTAGTGCAGGAGAAGGCAGGCATTTCCAAGGATGCGCATGGGCCCAGGTTGGACTTCTCCCCTCCCAGCTGCCAGCCCCCTTAGTACCAGAGCATCCGTGAGGATCTGACTTGGGGCGGGGGTGGGAGGGGAGGGGAAGGTGCAAGGCAGGGTAGCTTCAGACCTGGCAGGACCCCACCCTGCCGATCTGGGCCAGGGAGGTGAGTGTCCTTAGAACTCTGTCTTCACCTCCTCCAGCCTAGAAGGCCCAACCACTGCTTTCTTTTACAGCCCTGTTCCTTCATTCTCGCCTGACCCCGCCTCTCTCTCTGCTGGAGCCCTTGGCCCCACCCAGACACCGTGTTTTAGACCAGGAAAAGCATCTGGGTGCTGGCACTGAGAGCTGGGGGACAGGCGCACCGAGCACTCTGACCACATCTCTCTCTGGGCCAGCTCAGAAGGCACACACCCAACACCAGGCACATCCACCCTCCAGGGGTGTCCTCCCTCCCACTGCCACTGTCAGTGTGCCTAGCCCATCTCCAACATGGGCTTCGCACAGTTCCTTGTCAGAACGGCCCCTCTGCCTTCCGGCCAGGCCCTGGATCTCTCTGGGGAAATCCACCCAGAGGATGACCTCGGCTATGGAGTCCAGTTGGGTAGGCAATCTCAGCAGGAACCTCCTCTCCTTCTACCCCAAAGCCCTCAAGTGGACCCTCCCTTCAGAAGGCATGGTATTGGGCTGGGAAACAGACCTGAAGGAGGCCTTGACTTGAACCACATCGTCCAAGGGGGCCCAGACCCAGGAACTCCCCACTGCCTCACTGCCCCAGCCCTCCCAGGTCGGGAACTCTGGGTCCCTTTGTTCTTTGGTAGGAAGGGCTGTGAGTCTCATCTTTGCTCCCCTCCCGCTCCTGGATTTTTGGTTTCAAAGTCCCTCTGTCCTGCCCCGCCCTGGCTCCTTGTTGGGAGAGGGGGATGGGGCCTAGCGATCACTCCCCTAACCCTCTCCCTGTGTCTCCTGGATGCCTGGGCCTGTTGAGTTATTTAACCATTCATTCACCCATTCAGTCTCATGTTCATTGTCTAGGCTGGTGATCACAGGATGTTCTCTGTGTGGCCAGCCTCAGAGGCCTGAGGACACCACGGAGAGGGACAGCAGTGACCCACCCATCCTAGCTCCTAGGGAAGCCACTGTGCTGGGTGTCAACCAAGACAAGTCGGGTCTGGAATCAGGGGATGTGGTCCCTGTGGTTCTCAAGTCTGACTGGTTACAGACCCCGGGCACTTTTTAACAATACTGAGCCTTGCCCCTCCAACCCCTGATTCCGCAGGTCAGAGATGGAACCCCTGCCCACAAATCTGGCGCTTTACAGTCCCCTCACGATTCAGATGCCAGGTGGCCATGGTGCACGTGGTGAGGTTAGATAATGGGGTGGGGATGGGGGGGGGCAGGCCATCCAAGCTGGGACACTCAGAGCGAAGGAAAGCACCAGTCCGTCCCCCTCCCACCCTGCCTCTGACCCCCCAGGCCCCGCCCCATCTCACTCAGGCACAACCATTGGTTTCAGAGTCCAACCCAAGTGAGTGTTTATTCTGGAAGCAGGAAAGTGGGGGGGAGGCATGGATCTGACCCTGGTCCTCCCCTGCCACCAACAAAACTGGGGCTCAACTTAGCCTTGGTGGAGGGGACGAGAAAGGGCCTCCCTGCCACTGGGACAGGCTATTCCACGCAGCCCCTCCCCAGTGGGCAGGGGACCCCAGCCAAGCCCAGACACTGGGCTTCACACATTGTCCCCAGTTCCAAAGTCAGAGAAGACATCTAGGAGGGGCTGAGGCACAAGAGCAGGAGGGTGAGGTGGGGTGGGGGTTGGGGACATAGGCTTTGTGCCTCTCACAACCGTTCTTCCCCCCCCTGCCTCCTTCTGCAATAGCCACCAGGACCCCACCCACCTCACCTCCTGGAGCGTGAAAGGCAGGGTTCCCGGGAAACCCAATGACGCCCCAGCTCTGTCCAGCCTGAGAGAAGTGGACGGTGTTGCCCCACCAGCCCCTCAGCCGCAGTGACCTGTCCTGGTTTCTTGACCCCTGCTCCTCCACCTCACCCAGGGCACCGGCCCTGCCTGTCACAGAGGCCAAGTGGCCCTTTCTCACCCACTCCACCAAAGCTAAGTTGAGCCCCAGTTTTGTTGGTGGCAGGTCTGTGCAGGTCTTGCCCCTAGGCCTTTCTCAGTGCCCCCAGCCTCCTGCAGGGCAAAGAGCTGACCATGTGCAAAGGTGGGCAAGAAATAAAGCCCCTGCTTCTCCGGCACCCTAGCTGCAGACCTGCAGGGCTGAGGGGCGCCCCTTCTGGCCTGACTTCTTGGCCCTGACCCAGAAGGAGTCTGTCTCTCCTGTCACCCACTGCCATGGAGTTGATGCTGACTTGCAGCAAGCCTACAGGGCAGGGTCGACCTGCCACTGAAACGCCTGCCTTCTCCCGAGGAGTAGCTGATAGTTTGAACTGCAGCTCTTGCCATTAGCGGCCCAGCTCGTACCCACTGCACCCTCCACCAGAGCTCCGTTCCAGGAACCACTGTGACCCCCTCCTTAATGTCCCACCCCCTCACAGGCTAATCCTTTCCTTAGCGAACCATCTCTGCCCACACCTCCCCAGGCTATACACAACCTGACCCTCAGTAAGGGAGGGGCTGGGGGGCAGGCCGGGGCTACCTCAGATTCATCATGGGGCAGGGTTAGAAAAAGCTCCTCAGTTCCCGTCGTTGGACCCCCACTCCCCACCCCCCACCCCCTCACTCCCACCACACACAGCTGGCCTCCTCCATCTCCCCCCCTTTCCCCCACACACAAGTTGTCAATCTGCTGTCAGGATGACAGCCCAGCCGAGAGGAAAGGGGCTGAGAGACCAGAGCCACCCAATCCACCCTCCCCCCTGGGGCCCGAAGAGGGAGGCCCCCATCCAACTAGGCAGGAGGACCGCCCCCCTCTTTCCCCCCCCATCACCCCTACTGCCTGGGGTAAGTCAGGATTCACTGACCTGAAACTTGCTCCCTGCCCCCCCACCGCCCCCCTCTGCCCTATGCCCACGCGGGTGACCCC